CAACAAAAATGATTGTTCCACCCGTCATAGTGAGTGAGTGATTGAGTGAGTGATTGAGTTTGTTTTAACGCCGCTTTTAACATTATTCCAGTTATATCGCGGCGTGACAGCTTAATGTGGGAGGAAAGCCCGAAGTGATGCAGGTCTCAGACGTTTACCACTTCGGTGAAACCCACGAGCACGGGTATGGTGCTGACAAACCTAGAAACATAATCGGGGCGAACCGGGATTCGAACCCACAATCATAGGTTTCTGTCATGCCAAAGGGACGCAACTCTGCACAGCGAATCGCGGCGCCTAAGACGACTGGGCCACCCGTTCCCCCGGCACCCGTCATAAACACATGCAAAGGCAAGTCAAATGTTCGGCTAAACAAACACGGGGAACAAATCAAAATAGGGAATCGTTTCGGACATCATTAAAATGTTCATTATTAACGAGAAGCCTGTATACGTAATAACGGGGTTTCAGCCATCACTTGTCTGGTCAAGACTCGATTGTTTACAGGTAGCCGACGTATGGCAGGATTACTTCTTTGTGGCGTTAGGCAGCAAACACTTACTTTTTATTGAGCGTGTCGGGTGCTACCTGTAAAGTGGGACATGGTTACTCTGTTCTCGAACACCTGGTGTCATCACTGATGTTCATAAATCCATTCATGTAATGTTCACCACTATTTTGCCTTTCACGCCCAATGGAATATGTTTCGGCAGATCAATCTTTATTTCAAGTACTGAAAAGGTCACAGGCCTATAGTGCATATACACATACAGTAGCAATGGGTGCAATATGAATTACATATATCGTAACTAAATATCACATCTATAATGCAGAGGATCTGATGTTCATTGCATGGTATATATACATTGAAAGATATTTTGTGACTCTTTCATTTTGAGGTGACACGAGGATATAACATTTGTCTATTCTAGGATTCAGATAAAAATATGTATGTATGTAATACTATTCTTTTCTGATCTGATATTTGCATACAATGGACAGACTTACTAAAAATGGTATTTATCTTCTATCTCTTGGCAAGTACAATATTTACACAATCTGTTTTCCCTTGATATCGATAAATGTCTACCTTTTTCTATTAGAAGGTCATGAGTACTACATCTGAAACGGGATAGTGCTGTTCAAAATTTCTTAACATTTATATCCATAAGATATTTTTCAGTAAGAATGAATGATTTAAAACAGGTGTAATGATTTAACCTATTGTGTAAACATAGTGAAGAGTACAACTTTTGAAAATACATATCTTTTAGCCTTTGTCTTAAATTATATACGAAACGATCTGGTACTGTTACATGTTGCTCTCTCCAAATGTAATCATACCCGCAAGACTGGAGTATCTTTTTGAGTTTCGGCAGATAAGCTGGCTTTGACATTTTATATTTTCACTTATACATAGAATCTTCTGCAAAAGCTATATTCGTCAAAGAAACAGCATGAGACGGGTCTACCAGATATTACAAGCAATCTTCAGATTAAAATAATGGTTATAATGTATATATATTTACAAGTGTGATGACACATTAAAAACCCAATAACAGTAAATTCACTAACAAAGTCTCACGGGAACCGAGGTCGAACACTATGTAATTTTGTCTGATGGCTGTTTACGAGCTTGCAGTTGTGTGGTCATTCACATGCTTATCTGTGGTTGCCAGGCGTGCTGATTTCCTACCATCAGTTATGTGGCAATTATACATGATGAAGAAATAAGATTCGGAGCACTCGCAAACATATCTATATTGCAACAGTGGCGGTGCTGTTAAATACGTTGTTGTATATGTTCCGTTTGCCTCATGATCACATGATAAGCCTTAGCCCTATAATTGTCATTAGTTTATTGAGGGTCCTAATGGGTATTACTGACTAGCGTAAACTATCCTGAATGTTCGATCGGTATTTACTGTTAAATATTGATGTAAAACCGCGGTGAAATACTGATTAATGTAAAATAGGAATTTAAATGATCTTGGTCTCAGGCCTAGGGGCTTAATGCTTTACATTGTGGTTTATGGCTTTGAGAAGATGGTTGAAACTCTTTGGTGAAACATGAATTGAAAGTTTTCTTCCACCATGTACTGATACTGGTTATATGTCCTAGTCCTACTGCCACCGACCGCCTCCGTGGTGTAGTGGATCCCGTCGTCTGCCGCCGGCGGTCGGTGGTTAGATCCCCGGCCGCGTCATACTAAAAGACGCTAATAATGGTGATTGTTGTTGCTCTGCCTGGCGCTCGGCATTGAGTGAATAAGTGGGAATAAGTGTCTGAGTGGGTTATTCATATTAAACTGCGGCATGGTATCTCAGTGAGCTAGCACTATAAATCGGTATCAGTCCGGACTAGTACAAGCAGCCACACATACACGTGCATGCACGTCGCTATATAAGTGCAATAATGTTGGACGCGACGTTAAACCCCATTTCACCTCACCTCACCTTACACACAGACACATGTATGCACGTTGCTATATAAGTGCAATAATCTTGAATACGACGTTAAACCCTATTTCTCTCACCTCACCTGTTACTGCCACCTGATTTATGAGCTGTATTTCCTGGCTGTGTATGTTTGGACATAAAAACTATCCAATATCACACAAAATATAAGGCAGTGATGTGGCCAAGTGGGTAAGTGGTGGTTCGTCACACCGAAGATCCGACAACTGGTACATTATTCGAAACCAATTCCTGGTGTACTCCTTCATGAGATATCTGGACTCGAACTAAATTTGATGTGAAGCTTTCTCACGGCGTCAAATAAAGCTACCATCGAAAACAGCTGACCCGCTTTGATATATCTGATATACACAGATACCATCAGTATTATACACTTACCATCAGTGACAAATGTATACACGTATCCCGAATGACAAGAACACATTCGACCTATCATTTAATTTTCTACTACATATTTGCTGTCAACAATATACGCGTTGAAACAGTTACAGGCTTTGAGCGGAGAGATGCTACAGTTACATCTGTGACGTAAGGAAGATAACCAATGTAAACCTCACAGCATGAGACGTATCACACAGCTTTGCACTCCAATAACAACATTTGTGAAAACTACTGTCTCCATTCCTCTTATTTCCTCTTCTTCTTCTCCTTCTTCTTCTCCTTCCTCTTCTCATTCATCTTAAACTCCCTCTCTCCTTCTCCTTCTTCCTCTTATCCTTCTTGTGCTTCTTTTTCGTCTTCATTTTCTCCTTCTTCCTCTTCTCATTCATCTTTTACTCCTCCTTCTTCCTCTTCTCCTTCTTCTTCCCCTTCTTCCTCTTCTCATTCATCTTAAACTCCCTCTCTCCTTCTCCTTCTTCCTCTTATCCTTCTTGTCCTTCTTTTTCGTCTTCATCTTCTGCTTCTTCTTCTCATTCATCTTCTACTCCTCATTCTTCCTCTTCTCCTTCTTCTTCTTATCATTCATCTTCTACTCCCTCTCCTTCTTCCTCTTCTCCTTCTTCTTCTTATCATTCATCTTCTACTCCCTCTCCTTCTTCCTCTTCTCCTTCTTCTTATCATTCATCTTCTACTCCCTCTCCTTCTTCCTCTTCTCCTTCTTTTCCTAGTCTCCTTCTTCGTCTTCTCCTTCTTCTCTCGCTTTCCTTCTCTCTCTCCCCTATCTCTCTCCTGAACTACCACCCTGTCTATCATTCTCGGGGCGGTCGGGTAGACTAATGGTCAAAGCACCCACTCGTCACGCCGAAGACCCGGTTTCGATTCTTTACATGTGTACAATGTGTCAAGCCATGTCTAGTGTCCCTCGCAGTGAAATTGTCGGAATATTGCTAAAAGCGGCGTAATACCACCATACTCACTCACTCTTTCATTCTCAACCTCTACCTGTATTCCTGCCCAATATATCTCTTCTTCTCTCAGTGGCTTTCTTGTCTCTCTCCGCACTTCTTCTCCATCTTCCTCTGTCTGTCTCTCGATCACGAGAAACATTCAATCATCTTGTCTCAACAATCCAACTTTCCAGTTGCCGCGTTGCGTCACTTAATGAATAGGTTTCTCGACATGTTAATTGTTTCTCACGACTACTCCAAGTTGCAGGTAAACTGTCCGTCAACAATACCCGAGTGGTAGCGGAACTACAGTATGAGGTTAGGTCACAGTCCTGGCAAATATTTCGACGGCTTAAAACGAAATGAAATTTCGCAAAATTAGCACATCTCCTAACCCTGTGCTAACCAATCCTGTACAGTGATATAGAAACTGATTATTTAGAAGGGGCCGTTAATGTTGACTTTTGGCAGTCGTTGTAACTGCGCCCGTCGTCTTGAATGAGGTACCCAATGGAGTGCAACCACATTCGTAGAAAAAACAAATAGCAAGTTTATTTTAGCGTCTTTGAAGTTGCGCTTGTGTCATAGCAAGTGACTCCGTCTATGTCCTGTGGTAATTGGCTGGACCAAGTGGATGCAATTCTTTACAGTCACGTGTCTGTATTCAAGTCGGAACAACGGGGGTTCTTTAAAACCTAAGAGCTGCGGTTGTTTACTTACATTGGTATATACATACATATTTGCTAATGTAGGTCACTGGAACATTTAAATTGAGTTTGTTCACTGACAAGCCGGCTGACAGATCGGAGAGGCTTTGAGAGCTATACATCTACAACGTATTATTGATCTATTACCTACATAATACATATCTGCTTGCTTCCTGGTGGTCTCCGTGTCGGAGGGAGAGGCTTGGGGGACGCGCACCTGTGTACAAGATCTACTTGAATGTCCGGCTTTCTCATATCTCAGTCCTACTCGGGGCTGTCGGGATCCAACTTACGCTTGTTGAGAGCTGGGGGTGGTGGGTTTGCTCATGGGTAATGGGTGGGGATGGGGGAGGAGGTTGGGGGGGGGGGGGGTACTCTGGGGTTTAGGTGCTGTGCATGTGTGGGGTAGATGGTGTACTGTGAATTGTGGATGGTATACTGTGGGTGGTGTGATGTGGATGTGGTCTTATGATTGGGGTACTGTGGGTTAAGGCTGGTGGACTGTCGGTTGTATATAGTGTGCTGCGTTGCGGTGCGGTGCGGGTAGTCGCATGAATGTGGATGGTGTGCGGTGAACTGTGGAAGGTGAACTGTGAATATGAACAGTTGATGGTGAACTGTGGTAGGGGAACTGTGGACGGTTTGTGGTGAACAGTGGATGGTGAACTGTGAAAGGTGAACTGTGGATGGTGAACTGTGGATGGTGAGTGGTAAACAGTGGGTGGTGAACTGTGGAAGGTGAACTGTGGAGCGTGAACTGTGGAAGGTGAACTGTGAAAGGTATTGGGTGAACTGTGGAGAATGAACGGTGGAAGGTGAACTGTTGTGGGTGAACTGTGAGAGGTGAACTATGGAAGGTGAACTGTGAAAGGTGAACTATGGAAGGTGAACTGTGGAAAGTGAACTGTGGAAGGTGAACTGTGAAAGGTGAACTATGGAAGGTGAACTGTGGAAGGTATGTGGTGAACTGTGGAAGGTGAACTGTGGAAGGTGAGATGTGGAGGGTGAACTGTGAAAGGTGAACTATGGAAGGTGAACTGTGGAAGGCATGTGGTGAACTGTGGAAGGTGAACTGTGGAGGGTGAGATGTGGAGGTGAACTGTGGAAGGTGAGCCATGGAGGGTGAACTGTGGAAGGTGAACTGTGGAGGGTAAACTGTGGAAGGTGAACTGTGGAGGGTGAACTGTGGAGGGCGAACTGTGGAGGGTGAACTGTGGAAGGTGAAATGTGAGTGGTATGTGTTGAACTGTGGAAGGTGAACTTGGAATATGAAATGTCGAAGGTGAACTGTTGGTGGTGAATTGTGGAAGGTGAACTGTGTAGGGCGAGTGGTGTACTGTGAATTGTACTCTGTGGGAAGTACACTGTAGTTTGTTGATGGGGTATTGTGTGTCGGGTACTGTGTGGGGGATACTGTGGGTGGGGTACTGTGGGTGGTAGGTGGAGTACTGTGGGCTGTGCTCTGTGGGTAGTACACTGTAGTTGGTTGGTGGGGTATTGTGTGTCGGGTACTGTGTGGGGGATACTGTGGGTGGAGTACTGTGGGTGGTAGGTGGAGTACTGTGGGTTGTGCTCTGTGGGAAGTACACTGTAGTTGGTTGGTGGGGTATTGTGTGTCGGGTACTGTGTGGGGGATACTGTGGGTGGGGTACTGTGGGTGGTAGGTGGATTACTGTGGGCTGTGCTCTGTGGGTAGTACACTGTAGTTGGTTGGTGGGGTATTGTGTGTCGGGTACTGTGGGTGATGTTTGGGGTACTGTCGGTGGTGGGTTAGAACTGTGCCTTGTGCTCTGTGGGTAATACACTGTTGTTGGTGGGTGGGGTATTGTGTGTGTGCGTGTGTGTGTGTGTGTGTGTGTGTGTGTGCGTGCGTGCGTGCGTGCGTGTGTGTGTGTGTGTGTGTGTGTGTGTGTGTGTGTGTGTGTGTGTACGGGGGTACTGTGTGGGGCTAGAGTGGGTGGAGTACTGTGGATTGTGCTCTGTGGGTAGTACACTGTAGTTGGTGGGTGGGGCACTGTGTGGGGAGTACTGTGGGGGGTGGGTGGAGTACTGTGGGTTGCGCTCTTGTGTGCGGTGTACTGTGGCAATATCGGGTCTATATAGTATGGCATGCGCGGCATGGTTTCTGCAAACAGATTTATCTAAAGTGTGTGTTATCACATTGTCACTGAAAGCCAAACTAGCATTCACAGAAACAGGATAGATTTACCATTCATTAATCTTTGCCTTATATGACATTAATATGTACTCTATCATCTCGCATTTGCAGCATATATACCAATAAGACTTTGTTAGTAGGTCCTTCCAGCATGACAGATTAATGTTAGATCAGATTACCAAGGACAAGGGAAGCGCAGAGTATCGGAGCATATCAGACAAACAGATATTTGCATATGTCGGTGTGTCTTCAGAGACGGCCTTGGGATGTCCAGCGTCGAAGTGTCCAGTTCTCTTTGTAGCCGTCCCGATGGGAGGCCACTGGGATGGTCAGCCTAACGCTAGGGCCGGACAATCACACAGGTAATGGTCGAGAACGACACACATCAATCAATATCAGTTTGCATTCACCTGTCCGACAAATTCGTTCCCCATGAGGTAGAATGTGCCATTGAGTCAGTTTGAGTGGACTGGTCTTATTTTTGTTTGTACTTTCAATATTAAGAATAAAGGTACAATATGCGCGGGTCAAGTAAGGTCAATTCCGATCTACTGCTACAGAGTGCGTGCTTAAGTTAGCGAGTGAGGAAACCTTGTTCCGGGGACACTGGATCCTCATCGTCCTAGGAAACCTTGTTTCGAGGACACTAGGTCCTCATCGTCCTAGGAAACCGTGTTCCGAGGATCCTAGGTCCTCATTGTCCTAGGAAACCTTGTTCCGGGGACACTGGATCCTCATCGTCCTAGGAAACCGTGATCCGAGGACACTAGGTCCTCTTTGTCCCAGGAAACCTTGTTTCGAGGACACTAGGTCTTCATTGTCCTAGAAACCTTGTTTCGAGGACACTAGGTCTTCATTGTCCTAGAAACCTTGTTTCGAGGACACTAGGTCCTCATCGTCCTAGGAAACCGTGTTCCGAGGATCCTAGGTCCTCATTGTCCTAGAAAACCTTGTTCCGGGGACACTGGATCCTCATCGTCCTATTAAACCGTGATCCGAGGACACTAGGTCATCTTTGTCCCAGGAAACCTTGTTTCGAGGACACTAGGTCTTCATTGTCATAGGAAACCGTATTCCGGGGACTCAAGGTCTTCATTGTCCTAGAAACCGTGTCCCGGGGACACTAGGTCTTTTTTGTCCTAGGAAACCTTGTTTCGAGGACACTAGGTCTTCATTGTCATAGGAAACCGTGTTCCGGGGACTCAAGGTCTTCATTGTCCTAGGAAACCGTGTTCCGAGGATACTAGGTCTTCATCGTCCTAGGAAACCGTGTTCCGGAAATACTAGATCCTCATCGTCCTAGGAAAACGTGTTGCGGGGACACAAGGTCTTCATTGTCTTAGGAAACCGTGATCCGCGGACACTAGGTCCTCATCGTCCTGTTAAACCGTGTTGCGCGGACACTAGATACTCATCGTCCTGGGAAACCGTGTTCCGAGGACATTTAGTTCATAGGACTGTGACATATTTAACGCGGGCCTTCCTCCCGTTACAAATTCAAAGTGAATTGTTTAAAAAATGTGAAAAATTGAAGCTATGTCTCCTACATTGTTCTATCAATGGAGTTTCCATTGCCTTCTGTTGTATTGACGTTTTCGTTTATCGGATGAAACGATCGGGTCAGATTGCACCGAAGTGACTCACAAAAGTCGTGAATGTCATATGTTGGAAAAAGCCGATAAGGAATTTACTAAGTGAAGCGTGTCGCCACGGCCACGTGGTTCGTCCTGTTCCCTGACATCGCCAGCGTCTCAAATTGACAATGTTACTGTCAGTGATAATTGTCGACTCTCGTGTCATCGCCTTTATGTCGCTGGAGATTGCAACGTGTTTATGAGAGCAATTAAAAGGGGGTACCTACTTTCCATAGTACTGTATACCTCTTTGATACCACCTTTCCCTTCAGATGTTGTGACATATTTATACGCGGGGCTCATGTAATGTCATGTTGGTATGAAGGGAGGAGGGGGTGGGGGTGGGGGTGGGGGGCGGGGGGAGTGGGGAGCGAAGGAGATATAAACACCAACATCTGAAAGGAATACCACAACGATGGTTGATGCAAGGTCATCCATATCGGTTGTGTACGACATCTATGGATGACTGGACCATTAGCATGAAGTTGTTCTTATAATAAAACACAGAACAACGTGACTCGTTTACATATATCAATGCAAGATGACGTTAACTGACGTTACAGATGCCGAACCTTCTCCTCTGCGTTTATCCCTAGATTCCACCGGAATAGGCGCCGCGTTCACTTTTATTAACATGTAGTCCAATCTATGTAGGATTGGACCTGTGACACGTTTCCGTTGTAACCAATGATGCCTTACAGTTAAAAACTTGACCGTGCTCGTGTTCTTGATGTCATTGACACAGTTGATGTTTGAATCTATTCCGATCAAAATCAAAGACAAACGTATCAAATCCAAGTCCATAATTTGTTGGGGGATTGAGCTTCTTTCATGTGAAAGAAGTGTATGTTTTAGGTAATGCCATGGTCAATATACAGGAACGTGTTCTGTCCTTCAATAAAGACGAACATAAAATGCTGAGTAAATATACCCGGGTAATATTGGCTATATATACAAGCCACCTACATAGAACGATTTATGGCAACCTACAGAAGGATAACCCTTCCCAGATAGACCAGGGTAGACCAGACGCGAGGAGTACTTTCCGGTTTCAATTATTTGCTACTTACATTCAGGAAAAATGCGTCACAAATAAATGTATCTGATGTTGATGATTCAGGGGTTTTATAACTTCATTCTTATTTTTTATTTTTAACAAAGGTTGCACGGCGAGATATTTTGTGATTAGAACCCCATAAAATAGGAAAAGTATTCAAATAACTTCAAAACAAAGCTTTGGTGTTAGGGACCCGAGGTATTTCTATTTTGAAGCGCCGGGGCTCAATGGGGCCTTTGTGTATTTCTACAACTCGGGTGGCAATGCGGCATGTATAGCACATCACCTAGTGGGAGGGGGGCAAGGAATGTGATATATTTCATTATATCATCCACTTGGACGGGTACAGCAGCAGGGGGCATTGTAGCAACACGTGGGGTCCCCACTTTGACACCAATCTGATTCATCACATGTACACTTGTCAAAGGTTTTACAGATGTTGAAACAATAAAAAGGCCATATTGTCCTCTACGGGTCAAGAACCAAACCCCTCACGTGACTGGCTATTGGGGTGGAGTCTGTGACAGCTATATACACCATACAGCTATGTACTACACATCCAATGTGTCAATCACCCGGTATTGATTTCACATGCATTTGGAGCATGACACTGTTAACATTGGTCCTGTATATGTTCCGTGAGTGAGGTTGAACGCCGCATTTGGCAATATACCAGCGATACCGACATGAAAGGGCGTCATAAAACTATATCAATGTTGAAAGCGAACGCGTGTCTTCGGTGTGACGAGCCAACGCTTTAACTACTAGGCTACCCAATTTCATGGATATTATGTTAGCTTCCGGCCATCATTGTGGCTGGCCACCACCCTGTGGATAATTGTGGATAATTGTTTCAGGGCGTGTTACCACGTGTTATTCTACATCAAGATGGTACTTACAATTGATAAAAAGTTCAATTCCGTAAACTTACGTAAACGTCTGATACTTACGTTCGATCCATAGCGATCCATAACGGTATCGGGTGGTCAGGCTCGCTGACTTGGTTGATGCATGTCATCGTATCCCAATTGCGTTGATCGATGATCATGATGTCAATCACTGGATTGTCTGGTCCAGACTCGATTATCTATAGACCGCCGCCAAATAGCTGGGATATGGCTTACGTATGTACATGTTGTTTGCTTTCTTATACTTATATGTACTTATATAACATCTCAAAAGTATCGCATCGAAGCGGGGAAGTATCAGTGCACTACATCTTGTCATTCTGGTGTCGCCCGCCGTGTTTTTGCTGGAATATTGCTAAA